GCAGTATTCCAGAAAATGCTGTTATTTCTCCACTGATCATTCAGTTCTATCCAGCAAGAGAAACAGAAGCACGACTGGGCATTTCTCTTCAAAGTTACCTAGAAATAAAATATTTTGCTGGTACTGGACTTAACAACCAACCAGAAAATAACAGAAGCACAACACACATTTCTGGAGTTAATAGTACCATTATTAAACTCATTCAGAAAATGCAAATTCAGCTGCACAGAAGTGTCCCAGTGAGACATTAAAATGAAGAATTACCACGCTGGGAAGAAGTTTACAGTTCCAATGTTATATTACTGACACCAAAATGACTTTGCTGGAAATGACAAAACCAAAGGTGACTGTTACTGGGGATTACTGCTAAAGATATGAGGACTTGGATCAAATCTTTCTCTCCACTGCTAAAACTACCAAAACCTAAATTCTTTTGTGCCTCCAGAAACAGGCATCAAATCTAAACTGCAAATGTTCAGAGCTCCATTAAGGCTGGAAATGGCAACACCTCTCAAACAAATGAAAACCAAAGGACAAGTCTTGATTTTCCCTGCACTCAGGCTCAAGATGGGCTGATCTTGAGGGCCCAGGGACTACGAAGTTGCAAATTACAAAATACTTTCAAAACAAAGTGTAAAACTTATGAAGTACCAATAAAAATACTTAACCCTATTCAGGAAAGGTAAAAAAAAACCAAAACAACTTTATTCCCATGTCAATGGAACATATCTTTCAATCACAGCACTGGAACATTCATTAGAGCTTAGAAAGAAGAGTTATTAAGAATTCAAATCTCTCCTTAAAGTGTGAGCACCCACAAATGTAAATGCCAAACAGATATCCCATCTCCCCAGAAAAGAAACATGCTTGAGAACATCAGGGTTTCTCTCTCACCTGTATTAAGAGTGATGCTCATCTGTAATATTTATCTTTTTAGGGCAGTTTTAACATGTTCTCCAACAAGAACTCTTTTAATTAAAAACAACAAACAAACTCATTACCTTTATCTGTGGTGAAGTTGGGAGTGGAACTTCAGTTGCTTACAGGGATTTTCTTTTTTGCATGATTTTTGGATTGCCATCTCTAGTCTGCCATAATCAACCAGGGAGACTTCCAGACAGGCTCCTGCAGCCATCCATCTGTATTTGGCTTTTATTTAAATGCAGCATTTCTCCTTTTTTTTTTTTTTTTTAACCAAAGGAAGAAAACAGCTCAGCCTTCCAACCTGTAAGAAATTCCAAAGGTAATTGAGAATTACACCTGCATTTTTACCACCTGGCTTTTAAAGTGCAACTCAAGCACTTACTGACAAAATGGCTTCCCAAAAGTTAGACCAAGATATTCTACCCATGCTCCTCGTTTCTTCCACCACCCAGAAGCATTTCCTGCAGAAGAGAATCTAAACCTTGAGAGCATGAAGTTGCCTGCAGGAGTGAGCTGTGATTCACCCAGGTGTGGTATTTTTAAAGGCACATCCAGCAATGGCTGAGCTGAAAACCCCAAAATGTTCCTGCGTGTTCCTCACATGAGAGGACGAAAAATCCTTCCCCCAGTCCTTCCCATATTCCACATTTTACGTGTTAAAAGAATAAATTCAGGCATTAAATTCCTCCTTTGCTTGCAGAATCTCTTTGGAATTCTACTTGAGGTGGAAATTTATGACCTGAAACCTCATAAAATTTCTGCAGCAACCACTCTGTGAATATTTTATATGGCTATTGTTCCTATCTTTGAGTTTTATTTCTTCCTAAATTAATACCTAATAAAATAAAATCATCTCAATGCATTTACTTCTGTGTTCAAGATCAACTTGAATTATCACCCTGCGTTGGTAAATGGACAGATCTGCACAAATTCACCAATCCAGCCATGTGGTTAAAGCAGAAGAGATTCACACCTTTTCTAGGACATTTCCCTTCACATGATACTGTGATTTCCTGATCCCACCATAACACATTTGTGTTCTACCATTAATTACTTTATCAAAACATCTCTAAGATAATGCCTCACTCACACCTGACAACAGCTCACAAACATAAGCCACTGAAGGAAATCAAAAATGAGGGGGCTTAGTTTGAAGAAATCGACTTCAAAGAGGGAGAAAACGTCAGACAAGGACTAAATTTGTTTCAGGCACGGCAAGAGAGCACCGTGAAAAGCTCAAAGCTGAAGAGCAAAGAAAAGGAGTCGTATTCACACACAAGAAATGACAAACTCCAAACCCTCACTTGTATTATTTATCTGAGTTATTCATGACAGCATCTAAAAACCAATTAAGGTAACGCCTCACAGTGCCAGACTCCTGCATAAACAACAGGAAGCAGTTCAAAAACCTTGTATATGGATCAGGCAAAAGACAGAAAGGAGAACTATACAGAGGATTAAAAAAAAAAATCCCAAATAAATATTTTGGTTTATGTTATTTTCATGGTTAATAAGGCTCTGAAATCAAAACCAAAGTCAAGTGGGGCTGCAAACAGAACGAGAGAAGAAACTTGGTGGGAAAGGTAATGAGGAACTGAAGATGAAAACTCGGATGTGGTGGCTGCAAACACCACCAGAATATCCTAAATCGGAGTTACAAAATACAAGGTGGGATATTTAATTTAGCAGGAAGTCATGGAAATTGATTTCACAGAATCCCAGCATGGTTTGGGCTGGAAGGAACCTTAAAGCCCATCCAGTCCCACCCCCTGCCATGGGCAGGGACACCTCCCACTATCCCAGGTTGCTCCAAGCCCTATCCAACCTGGCCTTGGACACTCCCAGGGATGGGGCAGCCACAGCTGCTCTGGCCAACCTGTGCCAGGGCCTGCCCACCCTCCCAGGGAACAATTCCCTCCTAATTTAACTGGATTAACACTGTTGATACCACATTTTCCTTTTTTTTTTTTTTTTTTTAACTAACACAAATGGCTTATGATGACACACAATTACTCAGAGATATTACTGAAGAGGCGTAATTATCTATTGTCAAGTGCCTGTGTTATTTTTCCCCTGTTTATATATACTATTAAATGTTAATCGCATGAGTAGCAACTGGGAGAAAACAAACTAGCCAAAAAAACCCCCACTCTGTTTTCATTAAAAAATTAGAAAAGGTAAAACGAAACCACAGGCCGTGACTTTTTGGGCGGGAGTCTGCAGGTTCTGGGTTTCTTTATAACGAAGCAGTCGAAATAAAGCACACTTCGAACTCCTTGTACCTGCAGCGACTTCGTGGGCTCATCTCTCAATAATCTGCACCTCAGTGGCCCCTCATCTCCCTCACCGGCGCTCCAGCAGTGCCGGGCTGGGCACTGGGACGAACTGGCCCGTCAGGGACACCCGGAGAGCAGGGATGTATCCGAGCCCTCCCGCCCCTCCAGCAACGCGGCTTCTCGCCCCGGGGAGTCCCAGAGCCGCCTCACGACCCCTCGTTCGCCCGCCCCGGAGCCGCCTCAGCTCCGGCCCCGGCTCCGCCTCAGCCCCTCCCGGTGCCCCCTCAGGGCTCCCCCTCAGCCCCTCCCGGCACCGCCTCGCGCCCCCAGGCCCCGCCCCTGTCCATTCAGGCCACCGCCTCTGCCTCGTCAGCCACGCCCCTTGCCCTCTTTTGCCCCGCCCCTTTCGCGCTAAACCACGCCCCACCCGCACAAAGCTCTGCCCTTATCGCTCCAGGCCCCGCCCCTCACCCGCCCCAGCCCGCGCGCCCCCGGCCCCGCTTTACTCACCCCGAGCCGCGGCTCGCACGGGTCCGGCCCAGCCCCGCCGCCCCTGCCGGGCCACGGCCGCCACTCACCCGCCCCCGGGGGCGCCGCAAGGCCCGAACTCCGCTCCGTCACAGCAGCGGAACCCCCGCCGCCCCCTGTCGCAAACCCTCCCTCCTCCCCTTTTCCCCTCGGCTTTACGGCAGCGGGGCGGGCCCCGCGGCGGGGAGGGGCGTGGCCGCCGTCAGCCCGGCGGGCCAATGGGGCGCAGCGGCGGCGGCGCGCGGCGGGGGCGGGCCCGCCGTCAGCGCGGCGGGCCAATCGGTCGCTCCGCCCGGCGCGCGGGCGGGGCGGGGCCGGCGCGGCGGGCGCGGATTGGGCGCGGCGCGGGTCAGGCCCGCCCGCCGACCCTGCCGCGAGCCGAGGGGGCGGCCCGGAGCGAAGTGTCCCCGCTCGGCTCGGCCCCCGACCCCCGCCCGCCGCCGCCGCCAGCGCGGGGGCGGCCGCGCCCAGGCCCCGGCCCGCTCCCGCCGCGCCGCCACACGGGGCACGCAGGTAACCCTGGCTGCCTCGCGGCGCGGGGAGCGGGGTAGGAGTGGGGGCGGGGGGCGCGACCCCATGGCCTCCCCTCGCCCGCAGCCCCCGTGCCCGCTCCGAGGGGCCGCCCTGCCCTCACGAGGGTGCGCGGCCGCCGCGCCGCCTCTGCGAGTGTCCCCCCGGCGCTCTCCGGGCCGCCCCCGGGGCTGCCCGCGGAGGGGGGTCCCCGTCCCCAGCCCCCGGTGCGGCCTCGGGGGCTGCGCCCGGCCGGGTTTTTGTGCGCGGGTGTTTCGCGTGTCGTGTGCGAGCGGCGGCGGCTCCCGGAGCGCGGACTCCGGCGGGCACCGAGGCGGTTCGGTCTCCCGGCAGCTCGGCTTGCTGGGCTACTTCCTGTCCCGTTCCCCGGCACTTGTCGGTACTTCCATTCCCCGCGGGAGCTGCCTTGACAGGGCAGCTCCTGCCGCTGTTATCCCTCCAACTCCCTCGCGCATCCCGGGAGAGTGCCCTCCTTCTCCAGGAGACATCCCGATTTTTGATGGATAGCCCGTTTCCAAATTTTTGAAGGCGCTTCCTATTGCTTTTGCATTGACCATCTCTGCTCTTCGTTCCTCTCTTTTACGTAATTGCGTGGCTCAGCTCTGCTTTTATTATTTTTTTTTTTTTTTAGGTTTAAGCCGCCTTAAAGGAGAATTAAAAATTGTGACTCCAAAGAATGAAATAAGACAGAAGAGAGAAAACAGCACTCAAAAAAAAAAAAAAAGCCCCAGAAAGGTGATGATTCATTTAGACTCTCAGAGTCATCCCTAGACACATGGTTTGGCTGGGACTGGGGCCTCTTGTTGTGTTTTTATGGATTTCAATAGGTAGCATTAGATTTCTTTGTTCTCTTAAAACCTACTTGCTGTTGACCTTTTAAAGTTCGAAAGCTCTGAAGCCCATTTGAAGCCCAGTTCCTCTGGTAACACTTCGTAATTTTCTAGAATTAATCCGCAAACGTTATTTTGATTATGCATTTCAGCTCAATGTTTTTGTTGTGACTCCCGTCTCGGGAATGTCACTTAAAATTACTTCGCTCCGGGTTGTTAAAAAGGTCTTTTCTTAAAGCCTTTTCACAGATTTATGGGTTCAACACTGGATTTGCTTCTGCTTTGATTCTAAAGTCTTTTTTGGGCTGGGTCATGGTAATTGCATTCTCTTGGTTCAGTCAGACCCAACTCCTGCCTGGGTCACTTTTTGTGTGTGTTGTGGAGCTGCGGGAATTGAAATTCCTTTAATTGGGCGGTGTTTGTTTACAAGTCGTTACTTTTTTTGGGCTGAGATCACAGAAGGAGATAATGCTGGTAGGTGCTCAGGGGAAATAATGGAAGGAGTCATCCAAACCAGCGCTGCTGGTAGGAGGAAGGTTCTGTTGCAGGGGGAGGGCTGTTCTTTGGGAGAATTGCGTGTTTTCTGGGGTGAGATGAGGTTCTAGGAGAGAGAGTGGGGGGGTGAGTGATGTCAGTCAGCCTTGTGCTGCATCCTGCTGTTGTGAGCTTCAAATGGCGGAGTTTCTGAGCGTTCTCTTCGTGCAGAGTCTGCCTCGAGTCCCTTCTAATCTGTTTCAAACGTAGGTGAGTTGGTTGCTTTGGCAAATACACCCTCTGGGTGGGCCCCTCTGGTCTTTGTGGTGTTTTCAGAGGTGTCAATGACTGCACCAAAACGTTGGTCATTGTTGGCAACCAGCTATTTTTGAGCATTAGCTGCAGGGGAAGGAGCAGGACCTGTTGCCAACAACCTTAGTCGAGGCTGGATCATTTTTCCAGGAGAGATGTCTTTAGCATATGACAAAAAGTAGCTGCTGCATGTCAAGGATTAAATAAAAATCCCTCTGCAACACAAGTGCAAAAAATTCTGGCATTTTGCAGGTGCAGAGAAGAAATGCTCCACGTTGTTTTGATAACACACCACAAACCCACAAGTAACAGTGGAACATGTGGACATGCCCAGTGTGGTTGCAGGAGGGATTTTTGTGCTAGTAGGTGGGACAGATGTGCATCAGTATGAACTTACCAGTGTATTTATGGCTCAGCTGTTTCATCTGAATTTGGTTTGTTGTAACTCCCTCTTCACAACCATCCAGTGCATCTCATGTCAGGGCTGGACCTTCTCCAGCAGGGTACCCAGAAGTCATGAGATCTTTGGGATTTATTCACAAAAAGGACATGTAAGTTCTCATTTGATTCTGGAAGCTCCTTCCTGATGTGAAATGCCAGTGCAGCAGAGTTTGATTCAGATGCAGAGACTGGAACTGAGCTCATAGGAATCAGGGAATTAACTTCTGGCAGAAACGTGGTCGAAACAAGGCTCAGAGTTTAATGATAGTGCTCAAGTCCTGCTCTTGATCTCTGGAAGAAATGCAAGCACATTGCAAGTACAGGGAAAGTTTTAAAGTCTGCAGGCTGTCAGCTCATTTTGGGTTTGTTCTGCCTTGCTGTGAGTTCTAAACCCTTAAAGGAAATGTGCTGTTCAAGAGACAGTTTTCCGTTGTTCCAGCAGTGCTTATAGAATGATATTATCCCAGTGACAATCTTGCTTCAGCCACTGAGGACATCCCACAGATTTTGTCCACTTGGGTTCTTCTAGGCTGTATTAAATAGAAGTGCATATCAAATACACTGACAGAGAACATGGAGTGGCACAAACTCTGTAAGCAGCACTCAGTTTGGTCATCAGCCATGCTTTGAGTGTTAGTGCTGAAGTGAGTGCTTTGATGTGGTTTGAGATGACCATTGGTTCCTGCCTCTGTCATTCTATGCAGTATTGGTGTTTGGGTTCTTTAATGATAGAAAGTCATGGTAAAATTCCTAAATCTTAGTCATTAGCACTTAATACAAATTATTATTTTCGAGGCTAAGCTTTCATCTGACTTCTACAGTTGAACACTTTATAGCAGCACCACTGGAAGTTGGAGGAGAATTTGTATTTTTTGCTTGCTTACCAGGGGATCTCCAAGCTCCCTGCAGTTTGTCAGTGCATGTGCTGAGGGTGGAGGCTCTGGCTGTGTGAACCCAGTGCAGCATTCTCTCCTGAAAAAGATCCCTAAGGCCTTGCTTAAGCATTAGCATTGAGGCTCTGGATTTGGAAGGAATTGCAAAGGAGGATTTTACTCACTGGGTTCCTGGTTAAGTTTGCCAGTGTATGGGTGAGGATGGTTAATAGCTGGAGTGCTTTCTGAAGGTGAGGTTTCCTTCAGGTTTGCAGCCCTGAAGTTACATCAGCTGGGTGATTTCTCTGGTTCTCCATCAAGCCCAGAAGTCAGACCTCCCAACCTGTGTGTGTGAAATGGATAATCACTGGTAAAAGGACACCTCTGTGCTTCACTTTCACCCACCTGCAGAAAGCACAACAGCTGCTTATTAGTATGGACCACCATCCACGGTGCTGCAAACACCTGAAGCTGGTGGGGGCCTTGCAGATTAACTCTTTGGGTTATTTTAAATTGAGTGTGTCCAAGCTACGAGATGGCATCGCAGGAGCTCTGAGGAGAAACGTGTAACTTTTAATGACAGCTTGTGAAGAGTGAGGGCTTCTTGCCTTTGAAGTGGCAGCTCCTCTGTGATGTTCTGGATTCATGCACTGTTAACTCATTGCTTTCAGACCCAGCCATTCCCCATGTGTTGCTTTGGTGATTTTCATCTCAGCCACTCAGATACCTCGCTCGGTGTCTGTCTGGGGCGTAGCTCGGAACCTCTAATAGGAAATATATTCAGGGTTATAAGGCTCTGTGAAATTTTAATATTTCACATGTTATTTGCAAACTTCGTGGTTGTGATGCGAGAATGCAAATAATTCCATAATTGTTCGCCTTGTTCTCTTGTCTGAAGAGCTCCTGATATAGGAGGCTGAGTGACAGATGAAGGTGATGGTGTGTTTAGTTTCTTTTTCAAACATATATTGACCATTTATAAAACGCCTTTTGAGTGAGAACACGTTCAGCTTGCTCAAGTTTGGAAATGGGTGGGAGAAGTGAGTTGTGAGACTTGATGAGGGCTGACGTGATTATCCTTATTCCACAGAGCTTTTTCTTTTATTTATTTGATTTGAATGTCTTGGAATGCTTCAACCACAGGCAACTCAGATCTGCACTGATTAGGTCTATGCCAAATACTAAATGTCTTGTATAATGGTGCACTTTCCTTGTAGTACAGAGTTAGGCTGACATCAGGAAATGATGGTCCTTATTCAGCTCTTGGGTGTGTAATCTCAGGGTTTAGGAGTCAGGTCTATCTGCCAGGGCATCTCAGTGAGCAAAATGCTGTATTTTAAGGTCTTGCTTTTGGTAGCAACCTTTAACTTTCTTTAAAGTAAGTATGTACATATGTTGGAATAAATTTTCCACATGATGTTTGCAGTGACTTTAAAGAAGTGACACATTGATGTAGAAAAGTCTAAGATCTCTTTGACAACATGAGACATTATCAATAGATAATGAAGATGTTTGTCTTATTTTTATTTAGTGCTGCTTCTACTATAATTATTAGTATTTTAAGCAAACTTTGTTTAGTCATTGAGTGAGAGAGCTTTACTTCTACTAAATATGACTTCTTTTTATTAAAGTTGCAGATCTTACTCTTGCCATATGCAGCTAATTTTCCTTTGGGGGGAAAAAGCTTGTTACTTTTTTAGTGGAGCAATCTGTTACCTTGTCTGTAGTCTGTGAAGTCAGTGCAATTCTAATTTGCATCAGCTAATAAAAAATGTGTGGGTTTTAAAGTGAAAATCATGCAAAAATTTAGGAAAAAAAAAAAAGAAAAAGGTGAACGACTGATCATCTATGCAAAAAAAACAAGGCTGGAAATGTGATCAAATTAGGTCATGGCAGTGCAGTTTTGTGCAGGGCTGGGAGCATTTCTGAAGACCTTGTATTGCTTTATCTTGGGAAGCAAAGCTCTCGGAAAATGCGCATGAGAGGGATGAAAAGAGCTTTTTTTTCATCCTCCTCTTTGAGCCATCGTCAGGAAAGCACAATTTCACGTTGCATTAAAGTGGCAGAAATTTTCACTTAAGCTGAAAGCTGCACCGTTCACGTAGCTGTTGTGCTTGCAGAAGGAAGGAGGCACAGTTGGGTTTGTGTGATCTGCTGGACAATTAAGGTTTAATGGGTTTATTGTTTGTTGGGTGCTCACGCAGGACAAGGGGCCTGGCACTAAAAGCTGCAGCCGAAGGAAAGGAAAGGTCAGGGAGAGGTGTACAAAGAATTAATGGAACAACAGCGAGTCCAGGCTGTGAGGAATGACCTGGGACTGATCCTGTTAAGTGCAGGTGACGAGGGAGGAGGATAAGGAGGGTTAGTCTGAGGGAGGAACCTGGGTAGGGATCGTAACTGGTGTTGGGTAAACCTTGATAGTAAAAGGGCAGGTTTTATATGTGAAGAAAAGGGTGAAGATGGCATTTTGCTTGTATGGTGAAGGTGTCTTTAGCTGTTCATGAAACACAGCTTGTGTCAGCTCGAGCTGTCACATGGGGGAGAGGAGACTCCAAAATCCAGCTGAAGGACAGGAGTCAGTGCTCTGTGTGCTCGGGTTTTATTCTTTGGATAGGGAAGCAGAGATGGGGTGGAGATTTAAAAAAAAAAAAAATCAAAACCTTTACCAAAAAAAAAAAACCAACTAAAAACCCTCAAAGCCAAACAAAAAATACCACAAAAATGGTTTGGGAAGAACTGAATGGATCCTGAATGTTTTTTCTGGCATCTGACTCCCACAGGGTGAGGTTGAGCAGTCAGGCAGAAATACCTACTGTAACCTTTGCATCCATTCTTGGTCCATACAGGAGCAGATAATATATAATCCTTACAGAAGAGTTTAGACCATTCCTTCAAGGTTTGCTCCAGACAGGAAGCACATCTCTCTTTTCCCTTGTCTCCCAAAAAATGTTCTCTGCAGCCTTTTCCTCATCTGGCAGAAGCAAACTCTCCCCACCCCAACCTCTGGAGGACTCCTGGATAATGGAAGAAAACACACTTCAGGGGCTTTTTCTGACATAACTGCATGAAAATGTAGCATTTTAGCACCAGTACAGAACGAAACTCTCGCTTTTATTCTTTGCAACTAATGAGAAATATCGTTTTTTTAAGGGGTAGCAGGTTGTTTGACACACATGGGCACAGAAGATTATGAACAGTGAAGACAATGAAGAGTGGGACATCCATCAAAGAGTAGTAACCTCTTATAAGGTAATTCGGGACCACATTGAATTCATCCTGTTGTACTTGCAAAATCAATTAAGTAACTGTTTGTTGTCCTCCATTTTCATGGCACTGGACAATCGTTATAACCAAGAATATATAGGTACATTCTTCCCCCCTGTGCTTCATTTAGCTTTTTTTTTTAACTTCCATGCAGAAAGCCAGTGTGTAACAACCCAAATGCATGCTGTGCTCTGAGTGAGATTGATTACAGTTGCAGAACATTAAATATTAAATGCCAGAGGGCTACTTCCAGTAGTCCTCCTTCCCTTCTCCAAAGATTGATGTCTTCAACGGGGATTGGCAAGCAGGATTTTTAAATGATCTATGGAGCAGAAGTGAAAATGTTTCCAAAGCTGGTGTGTACCTAAAACTGTCCTGAAACCTTTAATGTTATGGTTAAGTATTCTTGCAATTTGAATTTCACTGCTTGCCACAGGGGCGAGATGGAAGAGTGGGTATTTACAGGAACTGTGCAAGTGATAAAAGGAGCTGCCTGACTTTGTCTTCTGCTTTGTGTGTTTTAGTACTTATGTACTTTAGTACCAGCTAATTTGAATAAGCTCTGCTAGTCACATGCAACATATGGGGCCAATGCCAATTTTTTATAATGCTGCATTACAAATATACCCACCAGCTGAGAAGTGTGAGAGAGAGCGCTTTGCTTTCTCCTAACCAACTGTCTTCGTGGAGAGTGGCAGGGGGGATACTGCTGCCCCCTTAAATGAGAAATCCCAGTTCACTTCACCTCTTTAGTCATCCTTCCTCCTTCCATAGCTTTCTGTCCAGCTGTTCTGACCTTCATTTTCAGGATCACAAGAAAGGACTGTAAAAATGGCAGCAGAAAGTTTGTCTGTATTGACTTCTGAGCAGATATTCTCAGTTGGAGAAAAACTGGATGTTGTAGATAAAGGGACACAGTCTGAATTGTTATTTTTAAGGCTTTCCCACGAGTTATCCTTATTATCAGTTAGACTTTACAGTCAGTTTTCACCTGCAAAATCCAGAGCAAGATCTGATTCTTGTAGCTGGAATTTCATTAACAGTGCTGTTAGTGGGTGTGATGCAGAATGAAGGCAAGCTGGCTGTCCTGTAGGTGAGCATGTTCTGAAGTGCTAATTGGAGTTTAGAAAAGAGCTTAGCAAAAGCTTATTAGAGTCAATAGAAATACTTCCATTGCCATCAGATTAACCAAGTTTGATTTTTGGAATATGCTGCAAAAGCTGACCTGGTGAGTTAGCAGTTGCTGCTTTGTAAATCCCCTTCCTTTCCAGTCTCAGATAATGAAGTTCACACTGTAAAACAAAACAAAGCCAGTTCCTGAGCCCTGTATAACATATGGAGCTGAAAAGTCTTCTTTAATAACCCTGTGCTGAAGTAGTGATTGTTGCCATACATGGTAAGTTGGAGCATTTATAAATGTCAAAGACAGGCATTTGCTGTGTGTCATTTCCATATTTGCAGTGTAAGTAGGGTCACTGGAGCTACCTGTTAATTATGAGTTTATATCTCTCCAAAAAGCAGATAAATAACTTCTCTGCCGTGGGCACAGCGAGGTTAGAGAAGAGCAAATGCAGAGCTGTGTCTTTATCTGCAGAGATGGCAGTGATTGATGTCTTCACTTTCCTCTTGTCTGTGTGTATATCTGGATCCCAGGAACACAAGTGCCCAGTGGGATATGGGGAGTTGATTGCAGTGTCTTTTGAATGACCTGTGGATCACGAGGATCTGGAAATCCTTAGGATGTTTACGTAAAAGAAGGTTTAGGTGATGATGTGGGATCCTGATACACCAAGGTTATTGGGGATTTTAAGTTTTCTCTTTATAACTTTTCTCTGTAGTTTAATCTTGATTAACTTTGCAGCAGTTTAAATACATTCCTCTTTTTAGTCTTCTAGTTCTGTGTTAATATCCATTGCAACAGGTCTTGAATGTTCTCTGAGTCTCCTATTGCTCAACATGGCCTTTCCCATACCCTGCTTTTATTCTTTCTTCTGATACATTCCTTTGCATTCTAGGACTGTGGGATATAATGCACAATGTATGTGAAAATGTGAACACTTTGTGTACTGGGGAAGAATCCCTAAAAAAAACAAAACAAAAACCTGTGTTTTTCCTTGTCCCCAAGCAGATGGGGACTTTTCAAGCAGAGCATGGAATACAGTCCTTCCCTCTTTCCCAATGTGTGCTTATTTCTAGGCTCTTTCACAATGGCTATTTTAGATAACCTTTTGGCCCAGCTCTCATGCCCTGTATCAAGGTAATTATAAATTGAATAGTTCTGGTACATGTTCTCATGGTGTTTGACAGGGCTGTAGTAGCTGCACTTAGGGGTGTTTTCAGGTTCTTTGCAGCCTTTATGTACTAAGTAAGAAGAACACAAGCCAGAACACAGACAGTAGACTCTAATTAAAAAAATGAAAAACAAGGGTGAAAAGGAAAAAAAAAATTAAAGTTTTCAGCCCAAACATCTGTGTTACTAATGTTCACGTGCAGTAGGTCACAGGATTATATTAGTAAGATAGAATTATTTTCACTGAATGCATTTCTAGAAAAATAAAGATTATCCTAGTTCAGTTGCTGTAGCAGTGCAGTGCTGTTTCATGCAACAGTTTGAATCATCCATCCAACCAGTATATCTGGAGTTAGTGACACAGAGGTTGTGATTTTTACATGATTGTTGAGTTCTGGAGATTTGTCATTTTGTTATTGATCCGGTGCTTTGATTGTGAAATGCTGTCATTTCTGAAGAAAAGGTTGACTATTTATAATGTGTAAGTGTCCTTTTCCTTTGCAGTTCAGTGATGTGACCCATGTACTGTGATTTCCTAATAACAGATTGTTTGGATTTTATCCTGTGTGTGACGCGACTTTGGTCAGAATATTGAGAGAAATCTTAGCATTGCATTTTATTACGGAATCACGGAATCAGCTGGGTTGGAAAAGACCTCTGAGATCATCGAGTCCAACCTGTGACCCAACCCCACCTTGTCACCCAGCCCATGGCACTGATGCCACATCCAGTCTTGTCTTAAACACTTCCAGGGATGGTGACTCCGCCACCTCCCTGGGCACCCCATTCCAGTGTCTGATCACTCTCTCTGTAAAGAACTTCTTCCCAATGTCCAAGCTAAACCTCCCCTGGGGCAGCTCAAGGCTGTGCCCTCTTGTCTTGCTGCTGGTTCCTGGGAGAGGAGACTGATCCCCATCCAGCTCCACCCTCGTGTCAGGGAGTTGTAGGGAGTGAGAAGGTTTCCTGTGCAGGCTGAGCCCCCCAGCTCCCTCAGCTGCTCCTCACAGCACCTGTGCTCCAGACCCTTCCCCAGCTCTGTTACCCTTCTCTGAACACTCCAGCCCCTCAATGCCCTTCCTGAACTGAGGGAACCCAGAACTGAACACAGCCCCAACTTGCGTGCTAGAAACCTCTTTCCTTGTCCCCATCCTAATTTCTTCGCGCTTCCTGTTGCTCCAAGGTGACCGGTGTGCCCTCATGAGGCTCCTGTAGAAGCCAGATCCAGCTAGGATGTTACACCATCACTGCCGGCGGAACCCTGAGCTACAGGAGGAGCTGCAGATCCAGGCTGCGGTGGCCGCCGGCGATGTCCACACCGTGCGCAAGATGCTGGAGCAGGGATATTCCCCCAACGGTCGGGATGCCAACGGCTGGACTCTGCTTCATTTCTCTGCAGCGAGAGGGAAGGAGAGATGCGTCCGTGTTTTTCTGGAGCATGGAGGTGAGTTGCCCAGGGAGGAAAAAAATCTTCATGTCCGATTGCTTTCCATCCCAGTTTCCGTTGTAGGACTTCCCAGCACTGATGAGATACCAGACTGCTGGTACAGATTATTTCTTGTAATTATTTTAGTGATTCATCTCTGTTTACTTCTGATGCGCGCTCTGAATGAAGCCATGGATTAGCTCCATGCCTTAACACCTTGCCTTTTTCCCCCCACCTCTCTAGAATTGCCTAGGAATTGTTAAAAGAATGAAAAACGTTACGAAAATAGGGCAGAAGGGCTCATTATAAAATTAAATCTGCTCACAGCACTCCTTCCAAGCTTTTCTTCTCTGGTGGGGGGTATTTTTAGAAGGAGGCAGGTCCTTGAAATGAAATCTTAGGGAAGTTTGTTTCAGAATTCTAAAACAAGTGAGCAAGTTGGGTTAAAGACAGTTTCCCTATGCTTTTTAGCAGAGCCTGTTAAACTTCATAGAAACAATACTCTGTGCCAGCTCATCCAGATGAGTTTACAGCTCTCCTGCATCCATCCATGTTGAAGTTTTATTTTCAAGAACTCATGGAGTTTTGTTGATTTAAGTAATACTCATGTGGGTGATGAGTTTTATCCCTCAGGTGGTACAGTCAGAATTTCTTGCTCCTTTATCATCTTACAGGGCCGCCTGAAGTTTTAGAAATGGATGGTTTTAATCTTTGAATGTGCTACTGGAGAGGAAAAGTACAAATCAGTAGATATTCTCCACATTCTGATTAGTGCTCTTAAAGAACAGCATCCTCCAGCTCAGCACTGTTCCTACCAAATGAGTTCTGATCTGAGATGTTTTCAGTCTCAAGGAAACGGAAATGATCTCTTTGTGTATCTGAGGCCCCTTTTGCTGTCACAGTGTTTGTCAGCTGTTTGGATCACCCTGAAAATGGAATGGTGTTCATAGGCTGTGGTGGTGGCACAACCAGTGGTTTGTTCCTTAAGAGCAGTGGTGAAATACAGCCTGAGCAGCAGGACCCTGAGGATGTACCCACTGCAGATTGTAACCACACAGAAAGGGCAAACCCTCGTGGCCTTATTGGAAAGGGGAAAAAAAGTTCCATATACTTTTTAAATGTAATATATGTGGATAATCTCAAGCCTTCAGTTTGATAATTCAGAAATTTAAGGCTGTGAGTCAAATATCTTGCTTTTAACTTTTTATCTGTAAATTGAAAGACAATCAGAGAAACCCTTCTATATTGCTCTGTATTTTCCTTTTATAGGTGTTGATATTACATAGCTGCTGATGCAGTGTGTTGTTGTTACTTTTTGTTGTTACTCTTTCCCACATGAAGCACCAGCTGAATCTGATGCCTCATGAAAACTGCCTCTAATGGAACACCCTTGTCCTGAAGCGGCACAGAGTTGAATCACCAGGATGAGAAAGTTGAGTAACAAATAGTGTGAGGGTTAGTCATCTGCAGCAGCTTTCCTGTAGCTGAGCCTCACTCCTGAAAATTGGCACTGCTTTGTGCCTTGCCTTGTTTTCCCTCAAAACAGAGGCATAAAAATAATGAGTATTTAAAACATAATCATGTCACAAATGAGTTAATAAGCAGTGAGTGAGTTGACTCTTGCAAGCTGAGTTAATCACAGCAGCCTCATTAGTGAGAGAGGTTTGTGTCTACCTTTCCTCACTTGGCCTCTCCTTTCCTCCCTCTGAAGTGGATTATTTTGCTGTTGGTGCTTAATCCCTGTGGACCAAAAAAATACTGGGGTGAAGGAAAAAGTAATTTTCTGGTGTGAATCTTATGGTAAAGAGAGTATTGAACTGACTGTGCACTGGTAATTCTGTAAGCAGATATTGGGAGGGAGTGTGTGGAGTTCTGGAGGGAAGAGGGAATTGAGGTGCTAGTGGGAAAGAAGTGGTAATTTTGGATGTCCAAAGGGATGGTGAAGCTTAGCAGAGCTGGGAATGTTTTCACAGTTCAGGACTGGGAAAACCACTCTGGGTTGTTGGTGAGGGTGGAGTGCTGTGCCTCAGATCTGAGGTGCTGGGAGATTGTTGCCAACACAGCCCTGCATGAGAGTGGGATGGAGATGGAGTTTGGCCAATAAAGGCTGAGAGGGAATCTGGTCACTAACCTGGAATTAAAAGGTGGATTCTTAGGGGAGTCATGACCTGGCTGCCTCCTGCTTTTGCTTTTTCTCTTCTCTTCCATCACTGCTCAGCAGCAAAGCAAAGAGCCAGAGGACAGTGCTGTGCATCAGATTGGCTGATTGGAGTGGAGGTGGTGGAACAGGAGGAAGCTTTTTATTATCTCCTGAGTGAGGAGACACAGATAGAGGGGGGGAAATGCAGAAAAAAATCCAGTCCAGACTAAAGGATGAAGCCAGCAGAAATACCAGCTAGATACAGAGGTGATAGGTCAGATTATAAATATTCTTTAGCAACGGATAAAATGCAGAAAGTTCATCAAAACCATGGCAAGAAATAGTGAATTTGACTTCCTCAGTGTATTTGTCTTGTTTGAATAAAGTGAGGATTCCATGAAGCCAGCTCTTCCCATGCATGGAAACAGTCTGGAGCCACAAAGCTCACCAGGAGAGCAACACAAAAATAGGGAGCGTAGTTTTTTAGTAATCTTGGATTTTTGTGTAACAAGCCTTTTTCCCCTTTAGTGTAATTTTTTTTAGTTTTCAGTATGACATATAGAGACAAACACTGGCAAACAGCTATGTTTTATTAATTCCCAGCCACCACTGTTAGTGTTGCAACAAGTTAAACTCTTAAAATAAGTGTGTAGTGAGCTGTCCCTTGGTGATATCTTCCCCATACAAACTGAGAGGACAGTTCCTGGTTACTCATATTAAAGTGAGGAAAAGATCCACTAAAGCTCCTGGAAATGGAAGAATGAAAGAAAGAAGTAGCCTAAGAGCCCTACTTATTTATTTTTAGTCTTGGCTTCAAGGTATCTGAATTTTAGTGAGGTCAAGCAGAATCTGGGAGGATCTAGAGAACACCAAATGCTCACCCCCCTAAGCTACTGAAGTGCTTCTGTCTCTGAGCAGTAATGCTCTCCTGGACAGCTTTTATATCAGTGTTATCTCAGGAAATTCAAAACAGAAGCTACATGTAACCATGTTGCTAAACCTTGTGGTCAGAATTAAGCCTTAGTTGGGGGAATAAGCTTGAAATAATAGAAGTAGTCTGTGAAGCCAGAGCTTTGCTTTCTTGGCTTCCCAAATTAGACTGGGATAGAGTGACCTCAGGAAGACGTCAAGAAAGAGGGGAAACCGTCCCACCAAGCTGGGAATTGGAACTGTGAAATATTAGACTCTTATTTAGGAAACTGTATATCCTCCAGATTGCAGCATTGGAAAAGAGTTTCATTAACAGTAGAGTTTAAGTTACTAGTTTAGGTGCCCAACTTCAACATGAAATAAAATAATCAGAGTATCACTCAGTGTTGCAAATTTTCCATCTCAAGTGAGCCTGATTGCAGTAATCGGTACCCTTGGTAAGCAGCTCAAGGTTTCTGCTGTTGTATTATGTCTGATATTGAAGAACTTTAGAAGTGACCAAATGCAGTTTTAGAATCTGCTCTCCCCAAATTAATGGGAAGCTTGGAAATAATTGTTTGACAGTCGTGGTGGAGACAAGATATTCTGGCAAGTTCTGGCTTTAATCCCTATTTAGCTAAATATACTCATTCCAGGGACTTTTTTTTTATCCCTCTGGCAGATTCTAACAAGTCAGCTTTGTGATGTTACTGTTACTAAGACAGGGACTGAAAGGATGTGGAGTTTGTGTGCAACTCAGTGCGGGTCCAAACTTGTGAAGTTCGAAAGTTTTCCAGGAGGTGGCAGCAGGACATTGATGGAACAGCAGCCGCCGTTCTGAGCTTGTTCAGATCCTTTCCCAAATCCCGGGGCAGACTGGCACTCTTGGCTCACCAGAAATCCATAATCTTAATGGGAATTACAGTGTTTTTTCACGAGGTTTTTCTAAGGGGTTTGTTTTTGGAAGGGTGTTTGTGTTGCCTGGTTGCCCAGCTGAGATGAGAGGCTTTTTTTCCCCTGTCCTTGCTGAGATGCTTCTCTTACAGGACTTAGTGTTTTTGTGGTTCACTTTTAACTGTGAGAACCAGTGACGTTCTGGGAGTAGGGAAGGCGTGCAGAGTGCTTAAAACAATAAGTAAAGGGCATCTTTATGGTGCAAGGGAATTGTTTGGCTTGGATTATGAGTAGTATAAAAATGCATCCACGTGCACACACAAAAGTTGGGGCGTATCTGCTTGAATTTGGAAATGGCAGTGGCTAAACTGGGGGCAGTGTCCTGCCCTTGGGGTAGAAATGATTGACTTGCATGTCCTGTGCTGCATGGGAGCAAGGAGGCACAAGATGAATATTATTTCTATTAAAAAACTTGGGTTTTAGTGGTTTTCCTGCCGAGCATCCATTACTTCAGCTCAGGTTGGTGTGACTTTACAGAGCACTCAAACTAGGAAAGCTGTCACCAGCAAAAGACTAAACTTTCCTTAATCCACCTCGTGGTATTTCTGTGTTTATTCCTGTTCTATACACCAGAGGCAGTTCTCACATCTTATTTCTCTCTGTAGTCAGGCTGTGTTGGGATTTATGTTGGATTTTTTTTTGTTAGTTTGTTTTCTTCTCTCAGACTTCACGTTACATTTAAAAATATCCTTAAAGTTGCCTGATCACCTTTGCAGCTGTATTTTCAGCTGGTTCTTGCCAGCTTTTTTTATTTTGGTGTGATGTTTATCTCAGGGTTATCTGGGTACGATCACAGGAGGTTGGGAAGCTTGTTCCTGTTCTGTGTTAGCACCTTGGTGTGTTCAGGTGTGTTCAGCCTAAGGTAGCCTGCAGTTAATTTTGTGTTGTGAGCTTAACTAAGAGCAGATCTGCTGGTATCTTGTGCAGATGGTATCTGTCTTGGGTTGGGAAGGTGTTCAAACTTCCAGGAGCAGCATCTACGGATGGTGGAAGGAGAAACCTCCCAGCCTGGCTTGTTCTCTGGGCTGAGAAATGGCACCTTGCCTTGGGTGATTAATTAGTTGCTCGCTGTACAAGTTTGGGTGTCCTGAGGAAATGAAGTAAATCGATTTATTTTAATTTTTTCAAACCATAAATCACTGTGAGTTTTTGTGCTGTGTTAAGGGGAAATCAATCTGGGTAATTACCTGTGTTCTGCACTAATGTGCACTCCTTTCAGAAGTGGGCGCTTACACTCTCATAAAAAGAAATCTGAAATTTTGGTGAAACTTTATATTCAGGACAAATTCTGAACAGATTCACCATCTCCAAAAACAGACTTTATCAAGATAATCTGAAAAAAACATATATCCTACATGCTTTGGAAATCCTGCAGACCACAGAGCAACATTTTACCTAATACAGCATTACACCCTAAAAACAATCCAGCGCTGCCAGACCACAAAACATCCGCAGTTTGGGACAGCAGATGTTTCTACACATGCTTCTTTTTAAGCCCAAGAAGCAACACAGGGGAAAATAAAAAAGCTGAATATTGAGAAAGAAATGTAATATTGTAGAGCTGGAGGAAAACGGGATGGACAGGGAGATTTGAGTAATTAGCCCAGGAGTTTGGAGGAAGATGTGGAAAAGTATTTGTCAAACGGAAACGTACGGATGTGAAAGAAAAAAGACCTTTTTTGTGTGTGTGTGTGTAAATAATAATAAGTAAAATTTTAACTTTGTCTTAAAAATAGAACAAAAAAATCCTGTCATGCTCTGCCTAAAAAGATGGAAAAGCAAAGAGTTCTGCCTCGTGTTCTTGCTGCCTTTATTTCAGGAAAAAGTGGGTTTTTTTCTAGTGCAAACGATTTGAATCACTTCTGTTTAAATCTTCTTCACGTTCCATGTACATTTAGACTTTTACTTTAAAAGGGGAATAATTTAAAACAACTTTGTTCAAGTGGGCTTTTGCTGGACTGCTTATTGCCATTTAGTCTGTTGTGAAGATCCTGGTTTGCACTCTGTGGTGTTACACTCTAATATTGAACCTTAAGGTCATTGTATGTGAGCAGCTTTACAGTATGTACTGTCTATTCTAAATGCATTTAACCATTATTGTTTGATATTTTTCCTCTCCTCTTCCTCTCCCCTCTTCCTCTCCCCTCTTCCTCTCCCCTCTTCCTCTCCCCTCTTCCTCTCCCCTCTTCCTCTCCCCTCTTCCTCTCCCCTCTTCCTCTCCCCTCTTCCTCTCCCTCTCTTCCTCTCCCCCTCTTCCTCTCCCCTCTCTCTCTTCCTCTCCCCTCTCTCCTCTCCCCTCTTCCTCCTCCCCTCTTCCTCTCCCCTCTTCCTCTCCCCCTCTTCCCTCTCCCTCTTCCTCTCCCCTCTTCCTCTCCCCTCTTCCTCTCCTCTTCCTCTCCCTCTTCCTCTCCCCCTCTTCCTCTCCCTCTTCCTCTCCCTCTTCCTCTCCCCTCTTCCTCTCCCTCTTCCTCCCCCTCTTCCTCTCCCCTCTTCCTCTCCCCTCTTCCTCTCCCCTCTTCCTCTCCCCTCTTCCTCTCCCTCTTCCTCTCTCCCTTCCTCTCCCCTCCTCTCCCCTCTTCCTCTCCCCTCTTCCTCTCCCCTCTTCCTCTCCCCTCTTCCTCTCCCCTCTTCCTCTCCCCTCTTCCTCTCCCCTCTTCCTCTCCCCTCTGGTTTTTTTTTGGTTTTTTTTTTTTTTTTTTTTTTTTTTTTCAGCACTGTATTGCTGTACCCCCTTCTGACTCTCCTTAACTTTTCTTTTCCCTCCAGCTGATCCCACGGTGAAGGACCTGATCGGAGGCTTCACGGCGCTGCACTACGCGGCCATGCACGGCCGGGCGCGGATCGCGCGCCTGATGCTGGAATCCGACTACAGGAGTGACATCATCAACGCCAAGAGCAACGACGGGTGGACTCCCCTGCACGTCGCAGCCCACTACGGCAGGGACTCGTTTGTCAGGCTCCTCCTGGAGTTCAAGGCTGAGGTTGATCCGCTCAGCGACAAAGGTACTACCCCGCTCCAGCTGGCCATTATCCGGGAGAGGTCGAGCTGTGTGAGAATCCTCCTGGACCACAATGCCAACATCGACATTCAGAACGGTTTCCTGTTGCGATACGCTGTGATCAAAAGCAATCACTCCTACTGCCGAATGTTCCTCCAGAGAGGGGCCGACACAAACTTGGGGCGCTTGGAAGACGGACAGACACCCTTGCACTTGTCTGCTCTTAGAGATGATGTGCTCTGTGCACAAATGTTGTATAATTACGGAGCAGACACTAACACAAGGAACTATGAAGGACAGACCCCACTGGCTGTTTCAATAAGTATTTCTGGAAGTAGCCGACCCTGTCTGGATTTCTTACAAGAAGTGACAAGTATGTATGTAAGAGAAGTTAATCACAGGGCACAATGTCCTCTAAAAAGCCTTCTTTGAATTTAGCCCCAGAAAAAAAAAAAAAAAAAAAAAAGCTTACTCTCTGCCCCTCGATGCTTTTTAAATGCACTAGAAAATTTCGGGGAAGGAGAAGGGATTGCAATGCTGGGAATCCTTTACTCGGCAGAGGTGCTGCTGTTAAGTATTTTTCCTTTAATTAATTTTGTTTAAATATCTACAGGAAGCATTGGTTTTAAAAGAGTGAACTATAAAATCTCATTTATCGATGACCTCAGCACAGAAGATTTTTTGGGGGTTGTTTTGTTGTTTGTTTAGGGTTTTTTAGTGTCTTTTGTTGTTTTATTGCCATGCAAACCCCCTGCAGTTCCTGGCTTTTCCCTCTGCGCTGCGAGGAGGGCAGGAAAGAGCTTTGGCTGCTTTGTGTTCTCCCACATTCTCATTCCTTTCCCTAAACCAGGCAACAAAATGCCAGAGTTTATTCCTGCAACTCGAGGGGGTTTCATGTGCTGTGCAGCTTTGATTTGATTTTGTCGATGTGTTTGAAATACGAGAGATCTTTAACTCGTCACGACTTCTGATACTTTGAAATAAGTATCAGGCTCCTAACATTCAGGTCCCTTTTGATTACTAGTTTTTGGTGTACTGGATCAACTTTAAGTTTTCTCTTCCTCTCTCAACATGGAATGCTGTAATAGCGTTTCATAATTATAGTATTGCCTAAAGCATTTAGGAATTGCTGATTAGCATTTAGCAGAGTTTGCCAACTCAAACATGTTAAGATGGCCTGATAAATCATTATCCAACTAGAATGATCTTTGCACTACAGAGGACGGGGTATTTCATATGTCCCTTTTTTCCCTCCTAAAGCCCCTTTTATTTTTATGGATGTGGTATTTTTTTTTTAATGAGAATTGGTCTGTAAAGAAGCTGAAAGTCAGTGTGGGCTGGAAATGGATCAGCTGAGATTTGGTGTCAGTAGCTGACACAAACGAGCATTTGGAATTTCATTTTTGCCTTCATGGTTGGTGGTGTTGGTTTTGCTCGTATGCGAAATTGCAGGAGAATTTTTGGAAAGGTGGAAGTTGATAATAAGAAATACAAGCGATTAATAGATTTTTGGTTGAATTTTTTTCTGCTCCTTCTCATTCTTTCGGGTTTCCTTTTGGGGAGCCTCTTTTTGGAGCACTGTCAGGGATTTTAGGGGTGATATAATATCCAGACTTGAATTTTTTCCCAGTCTTAGGATGTATCAGTAACCATCAAGGCTTAGGCTGCTTCCCTGTTTCCTTGATGTCTAAAGACTAATGGGAAGGGGTGCTGTCACTTTTAGTTTTCAGATTCCACACCTTAAGGGTTGATTGTTAAATGAGAAGTAGATCCTGCTACAAAAAAAAAGGAGCTTTAATTTCTGGCCAATGTAGCAGTGTTGGAACTATCCCAGTTTTGTGCTAATGGAGGGAGGATTGGGAAAGCAGTGCTGACAAAAACAACTTCAGCTCTGTGCTTCTGAGCAAAATAATTATGAATATATGTTTACAAACAGCTATAAACAAACTCTGCTGCTGCCCTTATTATAAACATCCAAACACTGCTTTCCCTGGTTTTCATGAGTAATTACTTTAATAAGATGCTGTATGAGGGATGAGATGGATAAAGAGCGAGCTGGGAATTTGGTAGTGGAGTTCCCAGTTAAGCCTGACTGTGTACAGGGAATTGTTGAGATCTTGTGCTGTGGCACTTTGGGGAAGAATCTTGTTTATGTGTCTGCTGCAATATGTATTTTCCAGAAGAAAAATTTACACAATTTTTAGGGAATTCTTCCGCTGGAATTCTTCCTGAAACACTTTTGTGGTTGGTAACAGTGCCTGGGTCATGGGGCTTAATGGGAATTCCTAGTTTGTTTATTTGAACGTTATAGTAAGTGCTTAATATAGAAATCCAGAGCTGAAAGTTTTCTATGTGAAGTTTTGAAGAGTATATTCGATAGCAAAACAGGAGCTAGTTTTTATTTTTACAGCAGATTAACATTTTTAAGCTTAAATATTAATAGCTATTAATTACAAAAGTTGATCTGTCTTCAAGTGAAAGCAGATGAACGCTGCATATAAATGGGATACTCTTTAGTGGTCTGCATGTAAGATGTGAGTGGCTGTTTTTTTTATACTTGGAAAACGTATTTGTACATTTTCAGTTCCTCAGAAAACATCATCTGTGAATTTCTTTTTGTTTTGGTAGGTATTTAATCGGTAATAAGGGCAGCCTTTAGCCCAGGTCCCCCGTTGGGAGTGACAGGCAAGAGACCAAGCTCTCAGAAATACTCAGTATTGGCCCTGAGAGTCTGCAAGAAGATATTGGATTTTGGGGTTTGAACCCTGAAGGTCTGATATTCTTCCTGGTTACAGGTAGAGATTCCTTTGCTCCTAGAATAATTCCAAGAGGAAGTTATTCTATAGTTGTGTTTCAGTATTTAAAGCTGGAATTTAGGAACAGCAAAGCTTTTGATCTTGAGTCTGCTCTTGGTTTGGTGTTCAGACAGTCACTCATGTATTTTTCTTTCTCCCCTTCTCTCTTTTTTACAATACAACAATAAGTAAAATCTCCCTGTGGGAAAAAAAACAATATTGAAGATGAAAAATAATGATTTTATGGATCACCTTTCTTTTCCTTATCTGTGTTACACTTTCCTACTCCAAAAAACATTTATTGGCAACCCCTATATATATATATATATATATATACACACACACATAGAATAGTACTTGAGATCATCTGATGAAGGGTTGGTTTGGAGCAGTGCCATGTTCAGGTTCATGTGGTCTGAACCTGCCTCTTCAGGAGCATTAATGGGTTAAGCTTGGAATGCAATTCTGCAAATTAAAATAGAGATGCATGTAAAAATATATAGATACAGAGAGAGACTTCTGTTGGCAGTGTATATATCTACAGAATTAATGTGCAGTCATCCTGGATGAAATTATATGTTTTGAAGCTGAAGTGGAACAAGATGTGAGAATATTAAAACTTAAGAGAATGAGGGAGGTAGGAAAAATGCGAGTGTCAGAAAAACACTTCAGTAAGCTCTAAGGTACTGGAAATTCTGTTGTGATCTTAAAAAAAAAAGAAATTTAAAAAAAAAAAGCTTGGAAAACTTCCCTCTCTCCACAGCTCTCCTTTAATTGAATCCCTGGTCAGATAAGGGGGCAGACTGTGAGGAGCTGTGTCGAGGCAAAGAGCTCAGAAAATGATCAGGGCAGAGCAGTGTAATGTGTTGGTAACAGGTATCAAAGAACTCATTTCAGATCTGGAACAAGATCTAAAGGTCACCCAGTGAATTCAACTACAAATATTTCAGCTGCATTCCTTTATTTATTTTTTTTTTTTTTAATTTTTCAAAGGGCAGGTCTTTGGCTCTGACTAGAGAGTGTCATTTTGTGTTTAAATTCATATAGCACTGTAAATGTGCAGATAAAACTACGAAGTCCTGTTAAGGAAATCCTTGTACATTCTTTCTCTCTGTCCCTTTGCTAAATCAAGATAACTTCTCACTAGAATTTTCTTCTTTAAACTGCAAGAACAGTTTAAAAAGTTTCTTTGCATACTTTAAACTTTTGTGGATACAGAAGTGTCTTAGTTCAATTAAGTAGATTTCTACATATTTTACTACGTGGATCACTGCAAAGGAAATGGTATTTTCCTGTTTGTTATAACACAGGACAACTTTACTGGAATCCCAGGCTTTGACTGCTTGTTTCCTTGAGTGCTGCTGGAAATCTTGCACTGATGATTGTGGTTTGCTTTGTCATCCAGAGTTACACAGGGAACGGGGATAAAGGGATTATTTAATAGTTTTCTACCACCTCATAGTGCAGTTGACTGTGCTTATGAAGTAGTTGAATCACTTGGTGTAGCTGTGGCCAGTTACATACTTGGTAAGAATTTTTTTGAGAGGCCTATGCAAAAAAAAAAAAAAAGTGAAAAAAAAAAGTTTCTATGTGTGGCATTTAAAGTACAGCCATGCTCCATTCCCACTCATACACCTATGCTTTATTCTGCAAAAATAATGTAAAAATAGCATAACAATGCATCTGAAGCCTGGCTTGGTGTTCAGAGCACTTTACTTACTGTCTGCTAAAAATGGATGAAGGTGATGGTGTTGAAATCCTTCGCTGGATTTCTGAAGCAGTTTCAGTGACACTGAATTTACAACCACGTTAAGATTTAAAAAAAAACCCAAACCACACATAAAAACTGTGCAAGCATATTCAAATCTTAATTTCAGTGCTAAATACACCTGTTAAGTGTTTAACACTGAGCTTTACTGACGTTCTGCTTTTTCATATATAAATTTCCAGTCCAAAATACACTCCTTAGGACGCATTTTCTGTGCCAGACACACCGAAATTCAATAGACCCCTCAAACTCACTGTGGGGAATTGTTTTTCAAAGAGCAGTGAAAACATTCTTCAGGCTCAGGCATTCTAACAGAGGCACACTGAACACAAAATTAAATTAGCACTTTTATTATATCCATTTTAAAAAGAATTAAATCTCAGTTTGTCCCGTGGAGCTGGGTACGGGTTCGAGGAGTTCGTTCACTTTTCTCAATGAACACCCTGAAATTCTTCCTCTCTGCATTCAGCCCTGCATGCCTTATATTAATATTTTTGGATATTAGCTTTTTCTGACATCTGCAATGCTGGAAAACCAACTCTTGTTGTGCTGCTGTTGTTTTTTTTACAGAGTCCAAGCCAATGCATTTCCTAAAGTGTTTTATCCTCTTGCAGCGAGCAGCTGAATTCCTGTTCAGCTCAGCCACCACCATTCCCTAGGTGATCCCGTCCCCTCCCCGTGATCCTGTTTGTCTCTGCATCCTCCCCAGTGTGTTTCTTGGTTGATAGATATGAGTTTCTAGTTTATAAGTTTAGTTATCTTTTTGTTTTCCTCCCCCCCAAAAAAACCCCTCGACAAACTCCATTTAATGCTGTGTTCCTTCACTGCTGTGAAATAAGGGGTGGATTTAAGATTTAGCTGCAGATATATTCTGATTTTCTGGAGGAACTCAGCTGCTGCCAGAGTGCATCAGCCTGGTCTCAACATTTTTTTTGGTAAAATGTTGGGAAAAAAACCCTTTTATTTTTAAGTTCCCTTTGTAGCTAAAAAGAAACTACCAAACAGTTTCTTGCTACTGTTTTCAGCCTTTCACAATTCCCAGGGGGGGCAGAGGCTCAGTTTGAGAAATACCACTGTAAGCTTTTTTGAGAGAAATGCATTAATATTGTAGAGAAAACTGTGGGCGGCTTCTGAAAGATGTCACTGATGTTATTTTTCATTTTTTAATTTATTCACCAACGGCCTCTCCGGTTCAAACCAACGACACTGATTGTTTGCTTTAAAAGTACTTTCCTTTTAATAGTCAGAACAATACATCAGAGAGGATCTTCTTGCAGCCTCCAGTGTATTCATTTCGGTTATTCCCAAGTTTTCTCTTGGGTAACAGAAAGGTCAGGCCGTGATTTTTGCTCTGTGTGTTGCTCTGTATTTTCAGCGGAGAAAAAAAAGGGTGTGGGGATTCCCCCCTTTCCACCTTTTTACAACACTGGCTGAAAATCCCCAAAACTCAGTGTTGTCAGGTCCAAAATGCCTTAATGATGCTCGAATTTAGACCTATGAGGTGAGTTAGTGTTTTATTTCTCGGGGAGGGCGAAGGGGGCAGGCACAGGTGGGATTGCAGCAGCTGCAGAGCAGTTTTAATGGTGACCAGAGCTCTTGGTACAGGTGATAAATCCCAAATGGAAGTTTTGTCTCTCTCTGGGCTAGAGCAGCAAACTCTGAGACAGAATAAGCAGGAAAAAACCCTTAGAAAGAGTGGGGAGTATTGAGTGGAAATTTGGATTAATTGTAATAATTCCTTGCTGTTAAAACATGCATATTTTTTTCTTTTCGCTTTACCGGCAGTACAGCAAAGGAATCTATTATAATAACTTAAAAGGCTCATTTCATTACTTGAGTAAAATAATTATTAATTATTTAAGTGGGTGGAAAAAAGCTCAGGAACTGACTTTGCTCGTAGTTGAAGAACTGATTTAGAAAAATGCCTAAATTTGACACATACTCAAGCCTGCTGCATCTAGATAGAAAAAAAAATGGCAATTCCTCTTTATTCTATAACTTTCTTTTGTTTGGGAGAAGCTTTTCTGTCAGTTTTTTGGGACACTGTACCCAAGAATTGCACAGGGGGGAATTTCAGCTTTCCCTTAGAGCACAGAGGGAGGCAAAGGATGAACTATACATCTTTTTTTTTTTTTCCCTGTAATTAATACTTCTGATTTATTTGATTACTGCTCTAAAGCTTGCCAAATAAATTGACTGAGGTATTTAATGTTCTGGTGAGCACAGGAGTAAATCTCCAGCTCCAGCAGGTGTTTGGTGCCCCGAAGGGACCTGGGGTTGTGTAACAGCCCAACAACCACCCGGGGAACGGGGGAACGGGAATAAGGTGGCCCTGTATGGCTCAGGGATGTGTTGGGTGTTTTTAAGGTGATCAGTAGTTTTATGGCTCAGTTTTGCATGATAGTGGTCATTAGGTCAACGGTACTTTTCATGTCTAAGTGGTTTTTTTTTTTGTCCCTTTCTCTTTTAATTCTCTTCCTTTCCAGCTTGTTTGCCCTAAATAACTCCCCAGATTTGAGAGCAGGATACAACCAAAGTTGCTGCTTCCTAATGGTTTCTACACAGGACTTTATTCCTCACTTAACGTGTCTTTAACTTTGCCAAATTACTAATAACATTTTTTTTCCATTTGCCAAACTAAGGTTCACTGACATGGGTCTGTAATCCTTTATTTTTTTTTTTTTTCTTTTTTCATTCAGATGCAACCAAGAATGAGTAAGTGTTCCAGACACCGTTTCTAATAAATCACAAATGCATTAATAACCCTGGAATTTGCAAGGCGTGACCTAAGACACCAACAGCCACTAGATGTAGCAACTGGTGCTTAACACTGGAAATGTCCATTGTTAACACATTCCCCAGGAAATATTTTTTAGGCTTATCAGGGGAAAATGTCATACATTTGATAATCGGGGTCTTTTGGAATTAACTGATGACCGATTTCTTTCTGGGTGTTTTAAGTTGTCTGTTCCTTTATGTTCTCAACCAACCCGTAGGGTGTTAATTAAAAGGCATTTATTTCTGAAACCAGAAATCAGTGTCTCATAGCTGATTTATTGTGTACTCTGCTACAAAAAATGCACAAAGATCTCCAGTCCTTTTTAACTTCTAGTGCTGCTGTTTGCACTTAACTTTTGAAGTGGTGCATCCCTTCTTGAACCCTCTTTGCCTTCACATTTAAAGCAGTAGAATAATTCTTTTTCCCCATAAGTTACCAAAGTACCTTTCCTTTCTCTGAAGCTTGAACATTCAGCTGCTGTCCAAGTTGTCTAAATTCTTTCCTTCAGGTGTGGGGGGAAAAATTGCTAAGAAGAAACCACCAGTGAACAAAGTAATTATTGGTCTGTATTCTAAGTCTTGCACGAAGGATATAACTAAAAATAAATTGACATTTAGGTGTCGTGGTGATAACTATAATAAAAGTATTTTCAGTTATGTGAAGGAAACTCAAATTTTCCTGCTCTTTAATTTCAAATCTAATTTCTTTAAAAGCAGACTGAGACTCTTCTTGTGCATTACTTCTGCTGGCTTACCTCAGATAATTTTAGTGCTTAAGATAAATCCCAGTGTGTACCTGTCTGTCAGCCCATTTCTATAGGAAAACCCACGCAGGGGGGAAAGCAGGAGGAGCTCTCTGCAAAGGGTAACTGAAACCTTGGGACAAAATGCCCAAAGTAGAAGACAGGAAATAGTTTCATAATCTCTCTACTCTGTGCTTAGCAGGAAAGTTTAATAAAGCCATAATGTCGATGCTTGGTTAGCTGATAGATTGTTTGTTGCTGGAGGAGGAGGAGGAGGATGGAAGAAGGGTGAAAAAACCCTCCTAACAGGTTGAGGATGGGTAGTTGACAGCAAACACTGCCCACCTGCACCGAGCCCTGTCCAGAAGGTATTTCCTCTGGAAAATGTCCTGCTTAATTGGTGGCAGCTCAGGAGGGCTAATTGGGGACTCCATCAGGGCTATTTAAAGTCTCTCTTGTTGGTTTTCTTGCTGCTTTTTGGAGAAATGATTGATTCAAGCAGTCAGCTCAGTAGAATCACCTGCCTGCCTCTGCCTTTTACCATTGACTGTAACATATTATAATACAGATATATTGTCAGGTGATAGAGATATCTTATTATACAGATAATAAAAGACCACAGTAAGTTGCTCTGTTGACAACAGATTATCTTGATACCAACAGAAGCACCTGTGGTGTTCACGGTGCTGAGTATTTTGACTTGGACAAAGTCAAAATAAAACCATCAGGTGCCATAACTGTGTCATGGCTTGGAGAAAAGAAAAAAAAAAAAAAAAGAAAGAAAAAAGAGGCTTAACGTTGCTAAGTGGATGATCAAAATATTGATTAGCACAGCTTTGATGTGTTACTGGAATAACTCCAAAAAAGCTATGGCAGAATGGGGGGAAAAAAAGCACAAAGACAGGCAGAGATTTGGAGTGGTTCCCGTGTTGGGGGTTATTAACTCGAGTTTTCAGCTTTGGGAAGAGGTACTGAGCATGAGTGGAGGACAGAGGTTTATATAAAGGTATGTAAATCATGACTGGCGTGGGAACAATTATTCATTATTTCTCTTGTAGCTCCAAGAATGGCAGGCATGCAACGAAGCCATCAGGAAGCAGATCTAAAATAAATAAAAGCACTTTGTAGTTTTCCAGCCAACGCCTAATTACATTGTGAAATTTGTTGCCACAGGATGTTTTGGATACTGAAAGTATGAATGGGTTCAAGAAACATTAGGCAGATTTACAAAGGGCAAGCTATTCACAGCTATTAAAGACATAGATCTGTGTGCAGTCTCTGGGTTAGGAAGGCCCAAAGGCACCGGTGCTGAAAGCTGGAAGGGTTTATTGGGACAGGGGTTTCTCAATGTCTGTTGTTCTGCTCTTTCTCTCTTTTCTTTCTGCCTTGGATCCGTTGCTGGGTGCATTCAGATAAAAGGCCAGATTAACCTTCCTTACGTTTTCTTTGCATAGGAGACCGAAAACCAACCGGTTTTCAAGGTGTTTTGAGTGGTTTGCTGGTAAGAGTTTGAAAGAGAACTGATTGTCTTGGAAAAATCCTTGCCAGAAATGCTGAAGGTTGTGTGATGTCAGCAAAGCTTTTCCTCTGTGGACAGTGGTTAACTAACGTTTTCATCTCTTTGTTTGACAAGGTTTTGGCTGCATCCAAAGCCTGAAGGCTTCATCTTTTCATGAAAAGGGGAAAAAAAACCCCAAAACCTCAATCTTAAATTCCGCCATGCGATCTTTGAGTAACTTTTATAAGTCCTCACTCTCTAAAGAAACTTCCCAGTCCTGTTACAGTTCAACTTAGAAGTTTTTGTCTCATTGCTTGAGAGAAAAGCAAGACTGAGGGTTCCTCCCTAAGTTACAAGGGTTTTTCTCCCTGTTAAAAGGATAGGAAAAAAAAATCCCCAGAAAGTTAAATGGAGGAGTTATGCTGTTCTACAGTGCATAAGCATAGGTTGCCACCTGGTGGGAATCCTCATATGGATAATCTCACTTTACACTGGCATCAGGAAAACTGTGTGCATGTAAAAATGCCTGTAGGATTCATCCCTTGATTTCACCGAGTTCATCAGGAAGGTTTTAACTCCCATCCTTTTTCTCTGGTAATTTTTCCCTTCCCCCCCTCTTAGAAAACAGCAAACCCCAGTGACTTTACTGATGTCTTAAAGTACGTTTGAAGTGTGATCATTGTGCTTTTATGTGTTCCTTTTGTCTTTTCAGGACAGCCCAGGAACTTGCAAGATCTATGCCGAATTAAAATCCGTCAGTGTATAGGCCTTCAAAACCTCAAACTACTTGATGAACTACCCATTGCCAAGGTCATGAAAGACTACTTAAAACACAAATTTGATGATATCTGATGTCCATGAAGAGGAGAACTCTTGAGCGAGTTTAGTTCTATTCCAGATACTGAAGAGGCTCGTTGCCTTGCACAAAGTATATCCTATGCAAATTCTGATTTTTCTGTGAAGTCAGAAGGCAGGTATACACTTCCTTGGGTTTTTTTATACCACCCGCTAGAAGGTCTTAATTTTTGGTTTCTTGGTCCAGGTTTACAAAGGTCCAAGCTTTCTATACGATGTTGCATTTTAAAAAAAAATTTGCCGTTGGTTTTCTGTTTGTTCTCACCTTACCTGGGCAGTGGGGATGGAAGGCGGCCCCTCGAGGGGAGCGGTTGCTTTGAGTTGGATGCTGAGCGGTGATGCGAGAATAATAAAGTTTGGAAATCAAGGCAGCAGTCCTGCAAAAAGGATACAGAAAGAGCTCCAGAGCCCTGTCTGTTGGGCCCCTTGTGTCTGCCAGGTGTATGTTTTTGCAGGACAGAGGGAAGAGCTGATTCATCGACGTGTCCTCGGGTACTGTATGAATAGAATTCGGAAGGTGAAGGAGAAATGGCAGTTACCCTGTTCAGTTTGAGGGTCTAAACATTGGCTTTTTTTACCATTTTCTTTCCTAATTACTCTAGTTGGGATGCCCATAAAATGCAGGCCCTCTCTCCTGACATTCCCTGTTAAATGGGTGGCTGTTTGTAAGTCTATTTTTACCAGTGACAGTACACTACAGAGAGGCGTGGCCTCTGGATTTTTTACATTCACTTAAGAGGAAACAAATTTAGATTTTTTTTTTTTTGAAGCCAGTGTATTCTGTTGCTCATACAGTGCCTCCTGTGCAATAATCTCTCTGATGTATTTTCCCTTTATGTGTGATTCCCCCACTATTCCCCGTTTAGTCTCAGTGCATTATTTGTGAGAACAGGAGCTGCTGCCTCTCTGTAGTGTTGATGTGACATTACAGAAGTGATGCAGCAGTTGCTGTTCATTATTGCTCCCTGGATTTCATGAATGTATAACCTGCTTTATTTCACTTTCAGTTGGAATTTCATCTACGGGTTCTCAGCCAAATTGTGTCCACTTTAAAAAAAAAAAAGAGAAATTGGCCAAATCCTTTTGTTTTAAAAGCAGTGACGGATTTTTCTTTTTTTTTTTTTTTTTGGTTGCTGTGAAATTGTTTCAGGTTTAGAGAGTGGGAAGTGCACAGAAGTTACTAGGATTTAACATGTGCATTAAAAAGAAAAGCCCCATTCACACTGAAAGTTTAAATTCATCTGAAAGGAGTACTGAAATCTGGGTGCTGAATGTGGTTCTCATACTAGGTATTCAAAGAGCTGTTAAAGAGTTTTGTTTCTGATCATAGGAAAAAAAAAAATCAGTTTGCTGCTCAAAAGAAGATTGGCCCAAGATGTGCAGTTGTTTCTCTGTCTTTATTTTCAAGGCATTACAGACTCATCATAAGGTCCTTGCCAGTGTCCTCTACCTACCTTTTGGCATCCAAAAAAGCCTCTCAGATACCAGGAGTGTTTTTGTACCAGTGACACCAGAGGAGGCGGGAGATGAAAGGAACCGGTAGTGGCTTTTAAATTTCACGCCGTCACTTCCAAAATATTCAACATTAAAAATAGGAAAAGCAAGGTGAAGCAGGTATATATATATATATTATTTAAACTGTGCTAGTTCCTTTTAATATCTCCTAACCCCGGTGTGCAGCTCCTTGAAGAGGAGGATGGATGCAAGGAGGATTATCCCTCCCCGTTTTGTGCCCTGAGATCAGGATCTTCAAATTGCTTTCTTAAAAAGAACAGAAACAAAAAGCAAACTCGGTATTGCTCACTACATTTTTTTTAAAGTCGTTCTAAACCAATGTCCTTCCCCACTGAATTTTTACAGTCATATTTTCTAAGGTAATCTAGAGTATATTTTAGTTGCAATCTATATTAAGGCGAATTATTTGTTCTGTCTGTTGCTGTGACTGAAGAAAATTATGGGAGACTTTGTTGGTAACAAGAATGCTATTTAATGAAGAAATGTGTAATTCCATTATTTATTGTTTGAGGTTTGTTTTTTTGTTATTTCTTTTAAGTAAACTGACATCTAAAGGGAACACACATAACGTTTCAGGCCAGTAAAAAGCCTTTCTCTTCAATGAGTTTTCAGCCCTCACCCTTTTTTTACAATGCTAAACCATCTCTTGTAGCTGGTTTCTCACCTTAATTCTAGAAAGCACCTCAGCACACGTGTCTCTGAAAATACTGGCAGTCCTGCTCTCTATCTTCAGTTATCCGTGTGCTCAAGTGCAAAGGAAGTGGGATTATTCGTTGATAATCCTATCCCAAATTTCAGTAGTAGGGAATCTGGTCTTTTTTTTTTTTTTTTAATTATTATTATTTTCAGTGTTGTGCACGAATAGTTTGAAGGACAAACTGAGCTTTGTTTTTCATTTGGGCTAGAATGTGGAAGGAAAAGTGCATAACATGGACTTGTGATGTAGCCTCGTTCCGTTACCTTGAAATTTCACGGTTGAACACTTTTAATAAACCTTAAAAAATTGGCAAACACACCAAAGAATCAATATGAGTAAAAGACTCTGATCATTAACAAACTGCAAACCTCATCCTTTAAAACAAAGCAGAAAGTTTTTGTAAATATTTATGTTTATAAATGTACAGCAGAGTAAGAGTGTTTTTTAGATTATTTAATTACCATATTTCTAAACTATTTACATTATAGACAATACTTGTTAGTTTGAAAAGCTCGAGTGGGGGTTTTATTTGTTTTGTTTTGGGTTTGTTTTCCTTTTTTTCCTTTTTTTTTTTTTTTTAAATTCATTATCACTCATGCTTGGAATAACTCTGGCTTCCTTGGAATAGCGTGGAAAATTCAGTTTTCTGGCTCTGGCTGGCAATCATGTGAGAAACACATCTGGACGAACTCATCAGATAAATACCCAGAGGCAAAAGAAAATAATGTGGTGTGTTTACCAGGGTGGGCTGGGCTGGATGAAAAACCTGCCCACAAGTCCAGCTTCCATAACTCTGTGTTGCTGATACCATCATGTATTTTGTTCTTCCTTTGCAATGTAAGTTTTTTTGCTTTGGGTCAATTTGAATTTAAAAAAAAAAAAAAAAGAAAAAAAAAAGAAAAAAGTTAAACCTGGTTTAAAACCTATTTTTGGTTTATGTTCTGTTTATTTCTAATGTAATGTTTTAATAACATAATACCACTTTACACCTTTTCTCTCAACGTTTGTCTGTCTCTTCTGCTCCTGTTCCCTCCTCTGGTGTTGGCGTGATTTTGGGGAGGTGTTTGGGATTCAAATGGGAGTTGCCTCATGAGCTGTAAGGTGACTTTTTACCAGTAAATACGAGCATAAAAGTCATGGAATGGTTTGGGTTGGAGGGGATCTTAAAGCTCATCCAGTCCCACCCCCTGCCATGGGTGGGGACACCTTCCATTATCCCAGGTTGCTCCAACCTGGCCTTGGACACTCCCAGGGATGGGGCAGCCACAGCTTCTCTGGGCAACCTGTGCCAGGGCCTGCCCACCCCCCCAGTTAAACAAACCCCACTCCAGAGCTGGGCTTTGGAAGGGGAACAAACTGCTCCTTCCTGGGAGTGCTTGGGTTTTCCCTGCTCTCATTCCAGCTCAGCCACTCCAGGGTTTTCTGACAGATTCCCTTTTCTTCCTCAAGCTCGTTTACTAAGATATGAGAATGGACCAAAGAGAGGTCGTGTTTTGCTGTCTGTTTACTACTTGTAAAAGTTGAATAAGGGGGTGCACATGAATATTCCTGGCACACAAATCGTAACTTGGACATTTGGTTTTGGTCGTGGGAATAACGCACAACCGAGAGCTGCAGTGAGGTTTTTAAGACCCTAAAAATTGGGAGTGGAAGGAGACTGGATTTGAAGACATTGCTGCTAAAGGGTAATAGGGAAAAAAAAAAGAAAAATAATGTGTATTTCATTGCTCAGTAGCAAACTACACAAACATCACTGGGAGAACATTCACTGTCCATCCACCAGTTGTGTTTAGAGCTGTGGATGGTTGTAACTAACAGACAGGCCAGGCTTTAGCTGGTCTATTTACTGAATGCTGTGCTAAAGACTTTGTTCCTGTTTATGTATCGTGTTTCCTGTTTTGAGTGTTCACTTGTTAAGTTTAAAACAATTAATGACTAATGCTGCCATTTAGAAAAACCTGATTTACAAGCTGTTGACAAATGACCTGTTTAGGATATACAGTCTCTATATTGGCAGAAGTGGGTGAGAGGGAAGTGTGCTTATTTTATATGGCAAAACATGGGGGGCTTTTTGACCACAGTGAGTCAGAAAGAAAAAAAATTACCAGAATTACCAGAAAAAATTACCTTTGAAAGAAAAATTGCCAGAGCAAAGAACAGTCTTTCCCCAAAAAGCCTGGAGAGGAACATATAAATTCTCTTTGCTCTAGTCTCTCCCCCTACTTTGGTTGGGGTCACCTGCACCTCAAAGGTGGTGGTTTCTTTGAAACTGGAATAGCATTGAAAGGCTAAATTTTGTTCTTTTTCACCAGCATATTGAATCTTTTCTCTGTGATTCTACTCCTTGACTTAATGTCATGAGCCAGAGTAGAGCTCAACGTGGGATTTAATCCCATGGCAATAAGAAACAAAGCAGACACATCCATTGCTCCATGAAACCAGGCTACCAGGAATTCTTCAGCCGGTGCCTTCCCCGGGGAACCACAACGTGCAGCTGGAACAGCAGAAAGTTGGGATCGAACGCTGCCTTCTTGGCTTTTATTGGGAAGTCTCCAGCTGTCTCGGGAAGAAGTCGGAGCTCCAGCTGTTTCCTCCACATCTGGGCTCTCTGGTGCTGCCGGCGGCTCTTTGTGGGGTCCCAGGTAAGTTTGGAATGTCTTGGTGGTTGCAAGGAGGATTTTTGACCCCGAGGTGCTTGTGAAGGGTCTGTACCCCTTCTGTGCCCTCTCCAGGCAGGTTTCTCAGGGTGGTGCAGTTTGTTTAGACTGCTTTTTGCAGACTCCTCAGCATCCCTGAAATACCCCTGGAAAGTCTGGGAAGGGTGAGGGAAAATCAAGCTTATAGGCAGTAGGTTATGCAAGGGTAAATGCTTTTAGGAGAGAATTTAGGTCTGTAAGTAACAGATCCACAGCAAAGAGCATCTATTCTTTGTTACAGAGCACAAAATTGGCCATAACTCCTCTCTTCTGACTTGCAAAAATAGAGTTTGTTTGCAGTCTTAATACGCTGCAAATCTAGCAGATCATCTCGTGTTCTGTCACAATTAAGTAGGAATTAATGGAAGTGCTCTGCTGAATTCTGTCCTCATTTCTGACTTACACTGCTCTAACTCCCCTGAAGGTGGTGGTTACTCAACATTTAATCTAGTGTGAAAGAGCAACTAATTGATTTGGTTGGCCAGCCTGCAGTCCTGCTCCTTGTTTTATGGCCTAATGAGGAGAGTATTTTTGGAAGGTATTTGCAGAACACTTTGTGAAGGAGCAGTAGGAGGGATTCTGTAGTTGGGGCCAACTTTATAAGCTACCAGTAGACTTTTTTTCTCCCTAAAAACCTGGCCTGCTTTGATAGAGTTGCTTAAACACTTTGATATCTAGTCCAGAATTGTTGGGACACATTTCAGTTTGATGGTCCGTTCCATATCTTGAGTAACCTAATTTATCTGCTTATTTTCTAACAAACAGCAGATTAAAGTAGCTTTGCAAATGAAATGTAAATTCATTTTATTTTAAAGGCTTAATTAATTTTAAAGCTGGTAGAGATTAAATTTCATATATTTGAACCTAGCATCAGGTCCTTCTGTTCTTTGCTGAGTGGAGTCTTCCTTGCAATCTGCATTCACAATGGGTTTAAAATACAAGGTGCTGAGTTTGAGCAGCATCTGTGGGCTGGAACAGTCAGAGCTACACTTGTCCATGATAAGTCAAAGCCTAAAGTGATGCTGGAAAATGTTACATTCTGTGCCCTGACCAGCTGCAAGCCAATTCTGGGTGATTTTTAGGTTCTCATCTGTTCCTACCTGGCTATTGCATTCACAAGGGATAATTTAGATTCAGTTTCATCCAAGTTGCTTGAGTTTTAAACCTCAGAGTGCCCAGCTGCAGGATGTGGGTTATGGAAATGTGGCTTCCAAGCTATGCCTGTCTCAAGCAGCTCAACTTGAGATCCATCCCCTGGCTCTCTGGGTGTTGCTCATCTCGTTATGGGTTTTAATAAAGCTGCTAGAAAGCAAAACCAAATAATATTTAGAGAGCAGTCAGTCTGAAAATGAAGTGATCAGGATGTTTGGTGAGAGGCTGGAGTTTGGATGTGTGTGGGATTGTGTGTGAGAGAGAGCAGAAAATGCAGCTTTTGATCTTACAGAAATGTTTGGTATGTGGGTTGTTGGGCTCAGGAGTTTGAACGTCCTTAATATAAAATAATCTCTGTGAGTATTTGAGTCTGTTCCTTTTTGACTTTGTGTGAGCTGTTTAATGGTTAGTGAGCCAGAAAAAAAACCACTGAGTTTTCTGATGGTTCGGGCACCCTCCTGATGAGTGGAAGACTTGAATTAAAGTTCCCACTCTGAACCAGGCAAAGCAATTAAGGGATGGGGATTTGCACTTGCATTCCCACCTCTTAGTGCTGTGATTACAGGTTTGTTAAAATCGTGCCACAGGCAGAGAGCACAACAGAACTGTTACACAATCTCCCAGGCTGACCCTGGAAGTGCTTCAGAGCAGGTTCCTTCAAAGCAGTCTCTTGCTCTTGTGAACAAATGACTGAAGCTCATGGGGCTTTTTTGTTCCTACTTACCTGCAATCGACCTGGGAAAATTAATTCAGACCTCTTCTGGTTCCACGAGCACCTTCCCTTGAGCTCTGGTGTGTTTGTATTTAGATGCCACGTCCTTGGAAGTGTCCAAGGCCACGTTGGATGGGGCTTGGAGCAGCCTTGGGTGGTGGAATGAGCTGAGCTTCAAAATCCCTTCCAACCCAACCCATCCTGTGATTCTGTGGGCACCCACCTCCTTCCAGCTCTTGTCTTTGGTGTCAGTGCTGACTTGTTCTTCCTCCTCACAGCCTGTCTTCCACCCCAGGTCACTGAGGAGGACAGGGAGTGATGAGACATTCCCTGCTCCAGAGGAGACCATCCCTAGTGATTATAGTGGTGTCTACGTGAAAAAGTCTAATGCAATGCTGGTTTTTGTGGAACTGCTCAGGGCTCCTAATACTTTGTTTTTATTTTAGTTTAATCTGCTTGCTTGGCTGAATACTCAATTTTTTTTTTCATAAAACCAAAATACCTTACCCTGCATTTTCACTGACTTCAGTTCCAGTGTTTCATTCCAGATCACTGATTTACCTTAGGGTTTTTTTGAAGGCTCTAACACTTAGCAAACTTCTTTCTCATCACAACCAGTTGCTATTTTAATGACTCAGACTGTTTAAGGGCACAACAAAATCCTATAGTGACATATCTGCATTATTAGTACTATATCCTGTAACTCCACTTTTAGTTGTTCATGTCCAAGTAAATTAAATTAAGGGGCTTTTTTAGGAGTCTCATCAGTTGTTTTCAACTAAAAATAGAAAACACTTTAATGATTCTTTGAAAGATGCCCACATAGGGGCATTTTCAGTCTTACCTGATAAATAACTTCAGACAACCTTTGCTGCAAACTGAGCCTCGTGGTTTGTGTTTTCTTCTTCCCAAGCTTGAGTACGACACTGATTATTTTTCTCAAGACATTTTGCCAAAATTTTTTACAATCTGCCATTTTGAGCAAAGAAAACTCGAAGTGCTTTCACAATTCATTGGTCTTCCTTCAGTCTTGGTGAGAGAACAGCTTTTAATGAGAACAGACCCCTTGTTCTAAAGGGCATTTTTGGTGCCCCCTGTGTTTTGCCCACATGTTCAACATCTTATCCAGTACTTTAGTAATTTGGAGTTATCTTGTCAATCAGGTGGCTTTTTAGCAGATAGATGTAGCAAAGCAGTTATTAGTTATATTGGTATATACAGCTGAACTTGCTGGCTTTGAGTATTTCCTGTGCTTCACAAATACTTTGTATAATCTGTTGTGCAGGCTCAGCTGTTCTTAATTCTAATGTGATTCATATTGTGCTTAGAAATCTGACATTCTTGGCTTGTCAGAAATATTAATATATGTTAGTGCCATA